CTGTCTCCAAAAACCAAACAAACAAACAAACAATAAATAAATAAATAAATAAATTCATGAGTCCTTTATTGGTGACGAGATCCAGCTCATGCCTCAGAATCTCTTGGTGCTGAAGCTCAGGGGTAGAGAGTTTTTAAAGGCAAAAACCACAAAGATCATAACTCACATCAAAGTTAGATGACAGAGTAACCTTGAAACATTCATTTCTGGCAGAACATGGTGACTGCTTCAGCTATAACCTGAAAACTATTTTGACTTAGTTTAATTGTTTTGGTTAATGCAGCTGGACCATGGTCAAGGCCATGGAAATCTCAGACATGTTGTTAGGGTAGATGTGGCCGTTGTGGGAATGGAGATGGGTAGGGAGAGGACTGAGGACTGTCTAAGCAAATACAAACAGAATCAGGACAGGATGGCATTTCCACGTCACTTCTTCAGTGGAAGAGTCTGCATTCCTTGGTTCAGAATGTTGAAGAGATGCTTGGTTTCATTTTAGAGACTTTTTTTTTTTTTTAATGCAAACATATTTAAGCCCTTCAGGAAAAACCTTATTCCTATCACAAAGGGAATGTTTCCGCTGTTTATTTCTTTGATCCTCATTCCTTCCTGGCATTCATCTTTATGAAAACAATCTTTCCTGTGGTTGAAGAGGAAAAACTCTCCAGGCCCTCTTAAATTCAGTCCTTGTGAATTACACAGACAAGGTTAGCAAGAGAAAAGACAGGCTTCTATCTGCACAAATAGAATTCACAGAAGAAAAGACAAGAGGCAGCCCAGATTTGAAGTTTGTACACCAGGTGAATAAGGGAAATGGAAGTTAAAAAAAGGAGGAGTATCTTAGTTCGCTTTCTTTGATAAAGACCATGTTCAAAAGCAACTTAGGGAGAAAGCAGTTTGTTTGCCTTGTCATTTGGATCACAGTCCATCATGGAGGGAAGCAAGGCAGGAAAGAACTGAGGATGGGGAGGAACCTGGAAGCAGGAACTGAAGCAGAGACCACGAGGGATTCTGCTTACAGGCTTGTGCCCCAGGCTTGTTTAGCCTGCTTTCTTAGACAACTTAGGAAGGACCAGCTGCCCAGGGGAACCACCTGTCACAGTGGGCTGGGCTCTCCCGCATCAATGATTAAACCAGGAAATGCCCCACAGATTTACCTAAAAGTCAATGGAGTCATTTCATCCTCCTCCAAGATGACACTAGTTTGTGTCAAGAAACCAATCACCTAGGTAGTTGACAAGAAACTAAACACCGCAGGGCACCATAGGAAATGAATTTTAGGAAAGATAAACGGATCCCCATTGTTAGTGTTATAGCCCAACAAAAGCCACACAAACCACTCAGACTCTGGTCTCAGTTAATTGAACACACCACCCCAAGACTGCTTAGGCCAGGGACACACAGGTCACTGACTTCTACCTCCCCATGGGGACGGTCCATTTGCCCGTCCTCCAGGTTCCCCTCTGGGATGCCTTCTGGAGAATTTCAGATCCCTACACCTAGTGCGCGCTTTAAGGGCTTCCAAGCTTACATGTCTCTGCAACCAAACTTGGACTCAATTTCCCTTAGATGACAGATCCAAAACAGGATCAGATAAATGGAAGGATGTTTCTTATGTTCAAGCTGTTTCTCACTTTCACTCTCACAAAAGTTTCAAATGTACACCTAAAGGAATTTTCTCCCTAACCTACTTAACTTTGTCTTCTGCCCATATATATGTTCTGCTATCCTGACAGATTTCCTATACCCAAGACAGCGCCAAAGTAGCTACCCACAGGTGCTCCAGTCCAACCTTGTAGACCAAACCAAGTCAGACCTGTACTTTCCCTCCCAGCCACAGATGTTCCCACAGATCCTGAAGAGTAGCAAAACAGCCTGCTCTTCCTGGATTTGGCCAACGTTTCAGCCTTTTGGCCCACTATTGCTACCCCAGTGTCAGCAGGAAGTAACCAAAGATGATGATTCAATTTCTTTATCCCTTATGAATTGATTATCAACAAAAGGCTGGAATGGTGTGTTTCAGAACTGGGATAAACAGCTCCAGGTTCTCCCAACATTCCTTTGTCCCTATCTGCTGCAGGGTATGGCTGGCATACCCCTGCCCTCTACCCTGAAATTTCCAGGAAGGGACTTCCCCTTCTCCTTTACCATATGATCTGGACATTTTGGTTCTGTGTGTGTGTGTGTGTGTGTGTGTGTGTGTCTGTGTCTGTGTCTGTCTGTCTGTCTCTCTACCCTGGCAGCCAAGAGGCTTTCAATGAACATACATTGCATGAGAAAACAGTCCAACGTCCTCATTCTGACTCACTGCCCCTCCCTGGCTCCTCGTTTTTTGTTAATTAAAAAGGGGGAGGGAGTGTTATGTTGTTCAGGTAATTCAGCGGGCCTGCCCTCAGGGGCCTTTAGGAGCCTGACAATGTCCCATGTCACCACCTGTGTCCCATTTCATCACTTGGGCCAAATGTTCCAAATATAACCCGGCTACCACTCCCACCCGTTCTCTCCAACTCAGTTTCTCTCCCCTTCCTTGCTGTCTCTGACTTTTCTCTGTCAGCTTCCCTCCCATCCCCCTCTTTCTCTTCTCCTATCCTCTTCCACTGTCTGTCTCTCTCCACCTCCATATAATAAATCTCTTTATACCAGATTTGTTGAGTGCATGTGGCATTTTTAAATCTATTATTAGACCCACGAAAACAGAATAGATGAAAGACATCAGAGTTTTGTGACAATAGATGTGTTGTCTTCTCTGGTAATTGGAATCAATATTCCCATATTTGTAAAATCCCGAGGAAAAGATTTATGACTGTTGAGATCATTGGGGAGACATTGCTTTGCAAAGATAAGACACTTTGTGACTCAAAACAAAGACAACTCTTTATCCATTGATTCTCAAGGGTCTATGGGTCAAGATAGTCCTAGCGGCTGGTGCACTGAGGATCCCACCATATTAGGAAAACAAGACAAAACACCCAAATGTAATGGCATTTGATTATTGAGTTGGCTGGCTGTTCTCAACATGGTGCAAGGAAACCCTTTGAGAAGGTAGAGGGCTTATGTAGCAAGCACAGGGCCCTAGACTGAATCCAGCACCAGAGGAAAAGTACACACATACACAAGGAACACACACTATGCCACCATGGTGGCAGAAGTTTTCCTGGAGGCCAGAGTCCAAAGTTAGCCCGAATGGTTTTGGACTTCTTCCCTGGAAAGCCTCTGGTCTCTTTCTGCCTTCTGCCTCTTTACACTGTCTGAGAAACCTAACAGCCAGCCACCAAGTCCAGTTATTTTTTTTTTTAATTTGTATTTCACAGACGGACAAATCAGGATACAATGAGCTTAACTGACTTGCACAGCTGAAAACCAGAAGGTTTTTTCATCGAAAATTCTGGCTGCTCTAATGGCTGAGTGCATAGAGGACAGAGAAGACTTTAAACCCTAATTATCATCTATAAACTGTACCTCTTCTATCTCTCATGAACTAGCTGGCATTTGGTGGGGGGGGGGGGCACAGAGATTCTAGGTTGCCTCATTTGGAAAAGATCTAGGGTGGTGTCCTTAAGGAAGTTGTACCAGCTACTTTTCTTGTCTTTCTGACCAGATGATTAACCGAGGGAACTCAAAGGAGGAAAAAGTGGCAGTGCTCGGCAGCCGGAGCATGAGGCCAGCTGGGCACAGCGGTGGGAGGAGGGGAGTGGGGGGCCAGTCAGGAGTAAAGAGATGAGGCTGCGGCTCAGCTCTCTGTCTCCATTTTTATTCAGTCTGGGCCTCTAGCCAATGGGATGGGTCTCACTCGCATTTTGGGTGGGACTTCCTGCCTCAGTTAAGGCTCTCAGAAAACACCCACCTAGTCACACCCAGAGGTGTGTCTCCAAATCCCAGCAGATTTGACAATTAAGAGTAACGGTAGCAGAAATGGTCACCGTCTCTAAACTTTCCTAACGGCCATATTTATAATCGTGTTTATGTCTGTTTGAAATAAAGAGCATAACTTTCTTCACATTATTTCTCATGCGCAAGAGAAATCCAAGAAGAATGTCTCCCTCTCTCGTCCTTCCCTTCCCCCCTCCCTTTACTGAGATCTATTTATAAAATCTACATTTTCAATTTTTTATTTTTATTTTTTGAGATAGGGTCTCACCATGTAACTCTGGCTGGCCTGGAGCTTGCTCTGCAGAGAGACTAACCTCAAACTCATTGAGATCCTCCAGCCTCTGACTCCTCAATGTTGCTGGTATTATGTCAGATAAATGGGTTGTTTTTTTATTTATTCATGTTTTGTACCTGCACAGGGTTGTCATGTGTTGCTAGGCACCTAGGTCCGTATATCTGCTCCTTCATTAAAAAAATAAAACAAAATCTGAGACAGACACCAGTAAAGGAAGACAGGTTTACTTACAGTTTGGCCAAACTGGGGGGAGAACAGCTGCTGTTCTCCTCTCTGCCCGTTCTGTACCAGTGACACTGTTCGGAAGACTCGGGAAAACAGAAGTCAGGAAATGTGAAGAATGCCCACTCAGTGAACCCCATGATGCAACCTCCTCCGCTGGCCCCAGGGGATTCCGTCACCCCTCCCCAGCATGGGTAATTCTGCTTTTCTTATGGGGGCTTGTGGTTGAGATAGGGCCTTGGTGTGAGCTCAGGCTGGTCCGGAACTCATTATAGAGCAGGCTGGCTTTAGACTTGCAGCAATCCTCCTGCTCCTGCTTCTTCAGTGTTGGGATTTACATGAGTGTGCTAGCATGTCCAGCTTGTTTTGTTGTTTGTTTTTGTTTTAAACCAGAACATTCTGTTGTTATCTGCCTTTATCATCTCTTGCTTCTGCTGCTAAGACCACAAAGGCTTAGACTGCTTCCATCTTTCTCTTCTCTTTTCTTCTCTCTCCTTCCCTCCTCACCCTTCCCTTCCTTCCTTCCTTCCTTCCTTCCTTCCTTCCTTCCTTCCTTCCT